AAAAAAAAAAAAAAAAAGCGGGACTGTCACACCAAAAGCGGGATGTCTGGTCACCTTACCAATTACAGATCAAAAATATTTTTAAAATACAATAAAAAATAATACAAATAAAAACAACACAATATGCCAGCCATCTATATAGCATTTGCATTATATTAGGTATGATAAGTAATCCAGAGATGATTTAAACTACATGGAAAGATGGGAGAATGTGTTAGGTTATATGCAAATATTATGCCATTTCATATCCGGGACTGGAGCATCCATGGAGTTTGGTATCCCCAGGGGGTCCAGGAACCAGTCTTCCTCAGATACTGAGGGAGAACTGTAATCAACTGCAATGTATCTATCACCCATCTTCCATAGTGATTGACATGTGGTTAATGTTGTTTCTTATGTACCCCTGACATGTTGAAGCAAATCTCAGCTTAATTCTTCCATCAGTTATACCAGAGTTACCTACACAGTCCTTACAACCCTCTTAGCAAGCAAGTACTACCATTGGCCCCCACTGTCCAAAAAAGGTAAAGGTCCATTGTGGGCACAGGGGAATGTCAATGGAGTGGAGATTAGAAGTACAATTCCAAAAGTTTGGTAGATCTCCCCCAAGTGAAACAACCTCACTGAAGATCCGTGTCGCAAGACTGGGAGGAATGTGGACCCCACTATGCCTCTCAAACAAGTGGTGGGATTGTCCCATCTTTCTCCATTTTTGTTCATTCAGTTAAATTTGTTCACCAAACATTCACTAAGTGCCCAGGCACTGTGTTGCACACCAGGAACACAAGAATGAGCCACAGTGACAACCCCTACCGTCTTCATGGGCCTGTGCCCTCACTGGGGGTCACCAGTATCACAGAGATGGAAACAATAGACAAGCTTTATTCCCCTGGACCCAACACAGGCTGGAAAGCTGCTGGAGGGGCACCGTCCACCTGACTCTCCACGTGGAGGGGAAACCCCATCTCCTGCAAGTGTAGTGCTATTCCAGGGTGTTGCCCTCAGGTCTGTCTTCAGTTGCAAGTGCCAGAATTAAAACACAAAGGGGAAGAAGCAAATAAAAAAAGGGGGGGAGTGACAAATACATTCCTCCTGTAAAAGACTCCATAGCTCATGGGTGAGTCTAGCACCACTGTCAGCTGGCTCTGCTTTTCTCTGTATTTGCTTCATTTTACAACAGAGGAACAATAATGGAAGTCCCAATTTAGCAACTCTAGAAGAAGAGGGCTCTCCCCTTCCTGTGAAAGTTGTCAGAATCGGCTCGGTGCCTATAGCTCAACAGGCTAAGGCGCCAGCCACATACACCTAAGGTGGTGGGTTCGAATCCAGCCTGGATCCGCCAAACAACAATGATGGCTCCAACCAAAAAATAGCCGGGCGTTGTGGCGGGC